CATTTAGGGTACCTTTCCAAAGGCTCATCCCTGTCCACCTTGTGATTTCCAGTCTCTTTTCCAGGACCTGGAGGCATTGTTGAACCTAGGGAAGGAACCTCCTTGTGTATGCCACCAAATGACTGAGCTTGCTCTCTTTTGAGAGCATGAGAGCACCATGGCCTCCTAAAATACACACTTCCAAAAGTCAAGACCTTCTGAGATTGGCCCTGGCTTTTCATGTTTTTGGAGGATCAGTGGAAGAGAAGGCCCCAGGACTGGAGAAGCTAGGAAACTCTGACTCTGGTTTTCTTTCCCTTAGGGGCTCAATTGCTTTGATTCTTGCTTTCTGCTGGAAGAGTCATCTGCTGGTACAACCCGGGACCATCTTGGAATAGCTGAGACAGATTGGCATTTTTCCAATAAAATTTTGCTAAATAACAACATAAGTTAATAAAAGAAAAGAAAGGGGAAAAAAAGAGAGAAACAGATCAAAGAAAGCACAAAGGATAAGCTTTGGTACTTTATCTAAAGCCTGTTATCTGGTTCCAGATTAATTACATTCTAGACCCCCAGGCTCCTTTTTTTTCCAGGCTTCTTTCTTGAGTTCAATATCACAAAGCTCCCAGACTCTGGACAGCCCTATCTTGTTTTTTTTTTTCCCATATATAAAAACTCCATCCTGATGTTGAAGCAAAAACCAACAATCTGTCTTATCTATAGCTTCCTTGCAGCATCCACTTTTCCAGCTAAGCTGTAGGACTCTGGGGATTGACACAGAGAACATTCTGGGCCTTTTGGCAATTCCTTATCATGATTCTTTAATCACAGCAGTCATGCCAGGAAGTTTTACCCATGGAGAGGCTGGACTTTTCCTGGAGTTTCTGGCACAATCTGAGAGACCCCTCTGTTTTAGTAATGAGGATGACTGGAATAGAGAGAAAGCACCTACTACGTACGTATTAAGCTTAATATGTGCCCCAAACTTTGTATATTTCACTTTTTAGTACAAGTGTTAGAATTAGGTGTCAGTAGCTAGTAATGATTTGTAGAACTTGAGGATCAGAGGGGTCAAGCAACTTTTAAGGCCAAACAGCCAAGCTAGGAGTGAAGTTTGGGCTAGTTGGTGACAAGTTTCTGATCTGAACCATGCAGAGGCAGAAGTGCCTTGGGTTCTTTGAAGCTACCGGCTTTTCCACCCCCTTTTTTTTTTCTATGTACAAACATTTGCTGAACTCCTTTATACACATATTTCTTTGCTATTTGGAAGTATAAAAGTTTCATAGACAAAAGTCCCTGCATTCAACTCTGCACCTGGTTCTCTATGTTAAGTCCATCATTCATGGGCACTTATTCTTCCAAATACTGAGCACCTATTATGTAGAAGACACTGGCCCAGGAGCTAGAGATGCAAGAGGTTATACACAGAATCTAGAGGAAGGAAAGAGCCTGGGTTCTACCACCATCATTACTTCTAACTAATTCTATGCCCCCAAATTTCTGAGGCCTTTCATGGGGGGATGGGGGTGGGTTGGGGCTTCTGGATAAGGCTGTTCCTAAGGAGGTAGGTATGGATGGAAGACGTTTTCTTGGCACTTTTTGCCCATTTACTGTGGTTAGTATCTGATAAGGTGCACAAAGCTGGGGAAATGAGACAGGCAGACAAGGAACTATCAGAAATACAGAGATATTTTGAAGGGGAGAAACTGCTTACTTATTTAAAAATAATGAGAAAACCCTTTAATAGAGCTTGCGACCTATTGTTCCTGTAGAGTTTATGGTTTCCAGGTGGCCTTTCCACTTGGAGACAATCTTCCTGGTTTAGAGCATTCTAGGCCAAAAGAAAGGGCCGAATTATCCCAACACTACTGCCAGTTTATGGTTTAACTCCAGCTAAATTATTCAGCCTATTTACGTGTCAGCTCAGAAATGGAGAGAGTGATGTCAGATACGTCACAATGTTTTCTGTGGAATCTCCAGTAAAGGGATTATGATAAATAACAGCTATGCAGTATGCATAACGGAACAGCTTTACTTTTTTCTCTAGGTCAAAAGAGTTGATGTGAGATCACAATTTGACTCACAGTGTAAAACCTTTGGGAATCTGAAACTTGCTTGAGTTTAAAAAAAAAAGCAGCAGACACCTGTTATTTGCATAGTGCTCTTTGCTGAATGGTTTACAAAGCATTTTAAGATATAATCACAACCGTTCCTTACCCCACCTGTGAGGTGCAATTAGTGTGTCCCCATTTAATTCTTGAAGAAACTTGAGTTACACAATCAAGGTAATTCAGGCAAAGATGCTTTATATTTTTATTTTTTTATTAAAGTGCTTTATATTTGATTTTTTGCTTTCCATACTATTGTTTTCACCTCAACTTGTGGTAATGGACAATCACAAATGCCATCACCAGACAAAGCAGAACACAGCCTTCTTTTCTGGGGACACGTCTCATCCCCAGACGCCAAACCCAGAGTCAACAACACAAGGCTGTAAAGCACCAGAAACTCCAGACAACCCACAGCAGTAAGGGATCCTCTTCATGTTTATTACCCAACAATATCTGGGAGTAGTTTGGAATGGATTGGCTTCCCTAAAGAAAGTTGTTTGTGTACATTTAGGGGACAACCAGCTCAGATTCCGCCTCTATTCGGTTCTTTGTTTCTCTGAGGATCTGAAGGCTGAGAAAACAGGGGTTGTCGAGAGAATTTGCCTGGGAAAATAATAACTTTAAAAGCATTAGGCTTATAACCAGTTAACAGTCCATCAACAGCAAGCTGACTGGCACCATCTCCTCCTCTGAGGAGTTGCGGTGACAGTGAACTGTAGGCCCTGTTCCCCTAACGGCAAAGGAAGCCCCCCTCCTCTAATGGTCTCTTCTCCCAGCCGGGCTGCACTGCATATAGGGCCTGTCTAGAGGCAAGGCCTCCAGGTGTGGGGAAGTGGGTTCTGCTCATCCTGGTTTTGGGGTGAACGCGGATTGACACGCCAGTGGAGTTAGGGTGCAGTTGGAAGGGGGTCAGTTTTCCTAGTCCCGCCATCCTCTAGGTCTCTGTCCCGAGAAGCTGCAGGCATCTGGCATCCCCTTGGCTCCAGGGCCTTGGGGTTCCAGGCCGGTTGCCTGAACCACACCAGGAGGAAGGCGCCCTGCTGCGAGCACTTATTTGCATCCAAGTGTTTGCATCCAGATTGGTGCTCACGTGCTGGAGGTCACACTGCCTGGAGGTCTCCAGGGACAGAGGCGGGGAGAGGAAGCCCAGTCAGGGGGTGGGCAGGTGCCGGGGTACGCTAGCTGGGGCGGCAGGCATCAGCCTGGGCCAGGACCCCTGCCCTAGGACCCTCCACTTCCAGCAAGGTCCCCCCCAAGCCGCACCCCGCTCCCCAATTCCCTGCTGATCCCAGGCGCTCCGGCCTCCCCTGGCCGGGCAACTCGGCCCTCCCTAGCCCTGCGCCGGGGGCGGGCACCTGCCCCCACCCCTGGGCGTCCCCTCCCCTTCACTTCCCCCAAGGGGCCGGGGCCCATCCACACCCCCGCGCCCCGCCCCAGGTCTCAGGGCCGAGCCTGAGCTTGAGGGTCTGAATTATCCCGCACCCCCCACCCCCCACCCAGGAAACCCACATGGGGGTGGGGGCCGTCAAGCCCCTTCAGAGGGTGGTGTATCCTCGCGTGGCATCCTGGCATTGGGGGTTTGGAGAGGGTAGAGGGACACTCACCCCCCTCCTCCAAGCCTCCCCTTCCTGGGGGTGGGGGTGGGTGGGGACGATGGGGGCCCAGCCAGGGGCACAGCTGGATGGGCCTGTTTGCGGGGACAGGGCCCGACACCTCTCCGTCGTCACTCTCTCTTCCGTTTCTCGTCCGGTTCCTCCCCGCCCCCCGCCCCAATAATGGGGCTCAGAGGGGCCAGGGCACCGCAGCCTGGTCTGGGGAGTTGAGCTCTGCCTGGACGTTCGCTCTACTGTCTGCCTGCTTCCCAGCCTTCTGCAGGAGAGAGAAATAAGGTCAAACAAACTTTCTCCCTACTCACGACGCCCTCCCGTCTCTTTCCTGGTGAAATAATAATTCAGATAAGTGGCGTGTTTGTGTGTGAGACGTGCTCTTCTTCTGCTCATTAGCCGAGCTTCTTGATGGATGGTGGTGGGAATGGCCTGGCTAAATGAGGCCACTTTGCAAAAGGGAGAAGGGAGAGAGCCACTGAGCTAGACAATACAGCCCAGCCTCTCAAATAAACACACAGTGGGGAGTTTCCAGTGAGCCTATTAGATGACAGGAAAAACCACACTTGAAAATTTTTATCCTTTTTGTTGAAAGGCTGCAGCAATTTCATTATAACAAGACCCTAAAGGGATCTGGATTAAATTTGGTAAATGAGGTATTAAAAAAACCCGATATCTAAAAAATAAAAATAAAAAAACCGATATCACCTCCAGAGAGCTCTGCCTCTCAAAAAGTGACCTGTCTCCTTACTCCCTGCCCCCATCCTCTGGATAGAGCTGTGATAAAGTTGGTCAGGGTGCTTCTGCTCCACTCACCTGATTTTTTTTTTCTTTTTAAGTTGGTGATTGAAATGTACTTTGGGCTGCTAAGCCTTTCAAGATGCTCTGAATTTGTCTTAGGTCAATAGTTTCATGTGAGAAGCATACTCCAGGGCAAATGGGTTGGAGTGAAAAGATGTGGAAGCAGTTAGAGTATGAAAGACACATGTTTAGTCAGCCCTGACTACTCAGTGATAAGAGGTGTCTTTTTGTTTATTATTAAAAATTTGACACATGTGGGACAAGAGTCTAGGAGAACTTGAATAAAACATTAATCGAAGCGAAAATGCCAGGAAAATAAGGATCTGTGAATGGTAGGCGCATGAGAGAATATATTAAGTTTGCATTACTAAGTTTGCTTTTACCAGGGAATGAATTATGGGCGTGCTTCATTTTGAATGTGAATTACCTAATATAAAAAGTCACAGATTGGCACATGTGAACTTTCTGTTGAAAAGATTAAGCTCTTTACTTCCTTTACTTACAGATTATGTCTACTTTGAGAATTCCTCAAGCAATCCGTACCTCATCAGAAGGATAGAAGAACTCAACAAGGTATACACTGAGTGTTCTTGATTCTAATATTAAGAAATATTTGTTTCCCATTGAAGGATAGGTGGGTAAAAGGCATAAGAGGTGATTTTACTTGCAGTTCCAGACTCTTTGAAAGTATGGATTTCAGATTAGAGAATTACGCAGGTTTCCGAATGTTTCACTTTTTATAATTACCTCTGATATTAAATATTGATATTGAATATGTAACATCTGCAGGTTTCTTTAAATTGCTTGGAGCTTCTCCGAGCAGGCCACTCCAGTAGCTCAGTCTCTCTTTATATTTGAAGTCATAATTTGTGTTTCTTCCTTTTTAGTGAATTAATTTTTTCCTCTTTCAGCTTGAGAAGGAAGATGTTAGGAAATATAATATTTAAGGGAATTTGTAAATTCTAGACTAGGCTAACTAATGAGAATACAGTATTGGTATAATTATAAAGTGGCTTTTTTGGTACTATAGGCCGGAATAAATAAAACTTACACATTGTTTTGTCCATGATCGAGGGTGTCCAGGACAGCAGCAGCATAATGACTGTTGGCAATAGTTCAACTTTTATAACAGAGGCACTCGAATAGTCATAAGCGACCTGACCAAAAATTTCTGGTGGTTCAGAGTTACCTGTGTAGCTGATGAGAATTCTTGCGGTCAAAATGTTTGGGGGCTGTCTAGCTTATACTTTCCCCCCAAAATACCATCTGGAGAGAGAATTCTTACTGTAAAAATGTTTGGGGGCTGTCTAGCTAATCCTTTTTTCCCAAAATACCATCTGGAGACTGGTCCAGTTTTGAGTCCCTGGAAGCCAGGTCTGGCCAAGGGCATGCCTGGCTTATGAGCTTGGACTTCCTGTTTCACTTTTGGGGATACCCTGGCGATGTTGCATTTTAAAAACGTGTAGAATTTGAGACCACCAACCACCAAATGAAGCAAATGGCTGCAGGGTTAGGTCTGTCTGTGGATGGAAACTGCTGAGATGTCTTCTCTTTTATGTTGTTGATGTAAGGTATAAGAATTTAGGCAATTCCGGGAAATTCCTTTGTAATCCAGTGGTTCGGGCTTCCTTTGTAATCCAGTGGTTCGGGCTCAGCACTTTCACTGCCACAGCCCGGGTTCCATCCCTGGTTGGGGAGGAAAGATCCTGTAAGCCACTCAGTGCCACACACACAAAAAAACTGTTTTAAATAAAAGGCTTCATAAAGAATTTAGGCAATTCCACACTGTTTATGGTATCAGTTTATTTAGAAAGTTAACTAGGATTCAAAGAAAAATATTGGCCTATGAGATTGGTATTCTCTGGCTGCTCCCTGCTTTGTTTGTTCATTTGGCTCTAAGTGCAGTAAACTCTTTCTTGGCCAATACTGTTTTTCTTTGGCCATGTTGTGTGTGTGTTGTGGGATCTTAGTACCTGACCAGGCATTGAATCCAAGGCCATGGCAGTGAAAAGGGTCCTAAGCACTGGACCATCTTGGCTCTTGCTCATAGGCACTCACCTTAGTACTGTCTAGTTGTTTGCAGTTCCCTGTACCTTGCTTTTTCCCCCATATCATTTATCACCTTCAAATACACTTTATGTGTTTATAGGCATACCTCAGAGATATTGTGGGTTCGGTTCAGACCACTGTAGTTAAGGCAGATATTGCAGTAAAAGCAAGTCACATAAGTTTTTTAGTTTCCCAGCACATATAAAAGTTAGGTTTACACCATACTGTAGTCTATTGTGTGTAAAAAATGATGTACATGCAGGGATTTCCCTGGTGGTCCAGTGGCTGACTTTGAGGTTCCCAGTGTAGGGGGCCCGGGTTTGATCCCTGGTCTAGGGATGATCCCACATGCCACAACTAAGACTTCTCATGCTACAGCTAAAGAGGGCCATGTGCAGCAACTGAGGCCCAGTGCAGCCAAAAAAAAAAAAAAGAGATGTGCATGCCTCATTGAGAAATACTTTATTGCTAAAAGAAATGCTAGCTGTCCTCTGAGTCTTTAGTGAATCATAACATATATTAAAGGTCACCATTACAAATGGGTCATAATAATGAAAAAGTTTGAAATGTTGCAAGATTTACCAGAATGTGACAGACACTAAGTGAGCAAATGCTGTTGGAAAAATGGCACTGATAGACTTGCTTGACCCATCAGTTTGTAAAGAAATATAGTATCTGTGAAGTTGAGTGAGCCTAAGTGCAATAAAATGAGGTGTCCCTGTATTTTCATTTCCTGATTTTGCAAACTAGAGTGAAAGCTCTAGGTGTGTAGTGATCTTTTCTATTCACTAATGGATCCTAAGTGCTTTAGAATAGTGGCTGGCACATAGTTAAGGCATTCAGTAAATATTTCTTGAATTAGTGAATTTCTCAGATGTCTGATGTTAATACTTGTACATGGCTTTACTGGTTACAACTACTTTGGTTCATTCATTTTACAGATATTTCTAAGAGCCTGCTACCTGCCAGGTACTTTTAGATACCCACTTTTAGGAACTGAAGAATGAACAAGATAGGTCTAGTAGTGAAGATAGACATCAACCAATTAATTCCACAAGCAGAAGGAAAATTGCATCTGTGCTAAATTTACAAACATCAGAGCATGGTACTCTGGAAGCATATAATCGAGGGATTCAAGTTTGTCACCTCTTGAGCCTCACAGTACCTTAAACTTTTAAAGTAGATGCATCATGGTTTCTTGGGAAGCACCCCATGGCTAGGTAACTTAAGTGTCTGGGTTACACATTTAGCTAAAACCTGGATTATTTCAGACTCCATCATTATATTACTGTTTACTTTGAAAGGCCCTCTCCTCCTCCATATTACTGTTTACTTTGAAAGGCCCTCTCCTCCTCCACATCCTCACCTTCTCCCTCTCCCTCTGCTTTCACAAGAAATCATTAATATACTAACAGTCCTTAGGGGACTAGGGGTCACCGAATTGTGAGAGATGAGACTCTGTAATTTCAGAGAATGGCAATTTGAGTGAATGGAGTATTGATTAAAAGGAACTGTGATTGGCTAATTTATTATTGGATATTTACATAGGACCTTTATTTTTGAAGGAGTGTGAAAGAGAGATTTCATTTTAAGTAATTCATTAAATATTTTTTGAGTTTTTATTATATAGCAGGTACCATGCTAGGCTCAGAATTACTACAGTGACCAATATGGACATAGTCTTTGCTATATACGTAGTCTTTGGTCTACATAATGTGTAGACCCACACAGGGTCTACATTCTCATGAGGGAGACACAGAAGAAGATGAATGAACAGGTATAAAGAAAATGATCATAAATGGTGTTAATTTCTACAAAGGAAATAAGCCAGAGTCTTGACAGAATAACAGATTGCTTCCTTGGAATAGGGATTAGACTTTAAGGACATTGAAATAGAAGCTTAAAGGATGAGAAGGAGGTAGTCTTCTTGGGATCGGGGCCATAAGAGTTCCAGAAATGCCCTGAGTGGGTCAGAGGTCAAGTTGGCCAAGTGGGGAAATTTAACATCATTGGAAGGATCCAAATAATGAATTTGAGAGTGCTTGATACATTCTAATTGATAAGCTAAGAGAAGGGACATTAACCTATTTTATTAACTTTCTTCTAATTAAGTAGGATGTATTTTAGGATTCTCTGGTGGTCCAGTGGTTAAAACTTGGTGCTTTCCCTGCCGGGCCCCAGGATCAGTCCCTGCTCCGGGAACTTAAGATCCTGCAAGCTGTACAGCATGCCCAAAGGAAAAAAAAAGAAGTATATATATATTTTTTTAACAAAATTCCTAGGATAAGCTGTTTGTCACTATTTTTATACAAAATTCACTTTTATAGGTTGATAGTTCCTTTTTTTAAAATCTTATTTGAAATTTTACTTGTCAGAAAGCAGAACTAAGTATTTTCTTTTTTTTTAATTAAAGAATAGATTTTTGTCTCAGTCCCCCCGCCCCCCGCCCCCCAGCCCCCGCCAACTTTCAGTTGCAAAACTAAATAATATAATGGGTTGATGAAAACAGTTCAACGTTGTTATCTTATATTCCCTCATTTTCTCTTCTCTAAATTGTACTCAGAGTGGTGATGATCTTTTGGAGGAAGACTATAAAGTTAAAATAGAAAATAGCTTTTGGGAAAATTTTAGTTGGTCACTCTAGTTTGGGTGTTGCTCTTCTAAAGATTCAGTCTGCACACATGTTGAAAGTAAGCTTTGTGCATGTAATAATGAGGTACAGTCTCAGGAAGTTTTGGAAATTATGCTTGTGGGTAAATTTTATGTTATTTGCTATGGATATATTTTTTGGGTGTATCATGTTGTATAATTTGTGTGTATCTTCATATTTTGTATATTTTATTAGCCATCCAGTTTGCCCTGAGATTTATTTTAATGTTTAGGGTCTTTTTTTTTTTTTTGGTGGGGAAAAGGGAGCCACTAACTTGAGCATCTAATCTTGTCCCCCATCCCAATCTATATTTGCACATATAAGATTTTACACATAATTTCAAGAGATCCCCTCAAAGCCCTTTTGATGGAACCCGAATTAAGACCCCTCCTGACGTTTAGGATTTGTTGGGAATAAGGACAGAAATTGGGAAAATAAAGTTCCTTTCCATTTGTTCTAGTTGAAGCATATCGTGGACTTTCCATGTTGGAAAGTGTTTGGTTATTTTGTTTTTTAAGAATGTACTTTCTTAAGTTGAGGATAGAAATGGCCATGAGTATGAGGTGGACTCAAAGCCCCTTATTGCTGGAGGATGTTCTTCTGTGTTTGACAGAATAGAGATTTAAGAGACTGCAACCTAAGTGGAGAAAAGAACATAGTACGTTACTGTTCATTGTATGTTCTTTATACCTGTCTCCACTTTTCCCACCTGGGGGTTTGTTCAGATCTTTCTTTTTTCTTAGACTACTCTGTCCTCCAGGCTCCACCTATTGGACTTTCTTTCTTTTCTTTTTTCTTTTTTTTTTGTTCTTTTATTTTATTTATTTATTTTTTTTTCCATTTATTTTTATTAGTTGGAGGCTAATTACTTTACATCATTACAGTAGTTTTTGTTATACATTGAAATGAATTAGCCATGGGTTTACATGTATTCCCCATCCCAGTCCCCCCTCCCACCTCCCTCTCCACCCGATCCCTCTGGGTCTTCCCAGTGCACCAGGCCCGAGCACTTGTCTCATGCACCCAACCTGGGCTGGTGATCTGTTTCACCCTAGATAATATACATGTTTCAATGCTGTTCTCTTGAAACATCCCACCCTCGCCTTCTCCCAGAGTCCACAAGTCTGTTCTATACATCTGAGTCTCTTTTTCTGTTTTGCATAAGGGTTATCGTTACCATATTTCTAAAGGACTTTCTTTCTTTTCTAGCCAACTAAGGACCCTTGTACCCCTTTCCTCCTCCTCGAAACTTTTTCTCCTCTTTCCCCATCTGGTGGTACTTCCTGCCTCCAGCAGTAAGAAGTGGAGTCTGGAGGGGAAAAGAAATGAGTAAAGGAAAATAGTGTTGGTAATTTGTCAGGAATGTTTTACTTTTATACTTAGGTTATGGGGAACTGGTGAAGGTTTCTGGGTGAGGGCCATGATGCCCACTGGGCCCTGGAAGGTTGGAGAGGAGGTGCCACGTGAACAGGCATCTCTGCTGGAGCGGAGGCTTCATGAGGGTGGGCACCGAGCGGCCCCAGCACTTAGCTCATGCTGAGTGAGGCACAAGAAGAGGGCGAAAGAGCTTTGGTGACTGTATAGACACAGCTTTTAGCCTTGGTCTTCAGAAGTGTGCTTCTTAAATTATTTGGGGTGGAGGAGTTTTAAAACTACTCAATATCTTAGGCTGCTTTTGTAAAATTTGAATGAGAGTAGAAAAATGAAATTTAAAGTAGGCTTATAAAAATGCAAGCCCCATTTTTTGTTATTAGATTCAAGAGATAGGAAATTAACTCTCAAATACCTTAAGACGCTTAATTTCTGTACTGATTTCTGTTACACAGTAACAGTTGTGTATTGGGCCTTAGACTACAGTTTCAGTAGTTCAACTTTAGAGGAATACTTGAAGGGTGTGTGTGTGTGTGCGCACATGCATGTGTGTGTATAATAGAGAAGAGGAATTCTGTAGCTGTAAACTACCTAATAGCCAAGTGTGTACATGATTCAGGAGAGAATATTTGTTTTGAACTATGCCTGTCTCCCACAAGCAGCTTTAAATAAGAATTTAATTGGCTTTATAGAGTATCCCTGTTGAAGGAACTCATCAGTGAGGCAGAAAAAAAACATGTATACCTTAAAACTCTTGCTTTAGGTTTTTAATATGCTTTTGTCTCAAGAAGAGAAAAAATGATAAAGCATGGGTAATTGAAGTCATTGATAGATTTTATTTACATGAAAATATTGGCCTGTTCATTTGGCAGACTGTGGGATCATTGCTTCTGGAGGATGTATTTGATCATGATATTGTGAATTATAGAAACACTTTGGTTAGGATTTAATATGATTTCAATTTTAAGGGGCAATATTTCTACAAGACTATTCTTCATTCTAGAATACTGCTGCTGAACTTCATAAAATTGACACATTTACTGCAGCACATACATATTCTGATTTCTTTGTGTCTGAGTGTATCAGTAAGCCCAGAGAAATTCTTAAAATTTGTTCTCAAATTTGTTTGGAATTGGAGGTCACAATAGCATTTTATTGTAATCTATGTGTTTTTACAGTGAACTTTGTAGTGAACGATTGACCTTGAAAGCGCTCAGAATTCATGAAGGATAGGAGTGTAGGAGCCTGGGCCCCAGCTGCAGTAAATTAGTCTAACTGAGTATTGATTGCATTCTAGACTGTAGTCAAAAAGAAATAAGAGCTTCAGTGTTCATAACTCAAGGCTTTTAACACTTTCATATGTGAAGGTAGACCAAATTCTACCAAGAATATTGAGCATTATGGGTTCATAGATTCCCTTGAGCTGAGAATGCTTTCCCAAGCTATCTGGTCCACCTCATCTGTTGATTTGCCCTGCACCTGCAAAGTGTCACCATCCATCGAACACTGGGGTGTTTAGAAGGAGGGGCTGGGTGCTTAGTCTGTGCCTCTGGGAGAGGGTTTGGAGGACTTATATTTAAATGTTTTAAGATATGCTGTGGCTTTTTAAATTTGGGGGATTAGTTTCTTAAGGCTAATCAGAGTTAACTATGTCTGGCTTTAGCCATTAAAGCTGTCTGATCATAGTTTAATTGATGCCAGTGAGTTATTTTATGTTTGATATTTCAGTTTCACTTGGAACTTTTACAAATGTTGCTAGTCCTTATTTGAATTTTTTAGCTCTCTATCCTGCAGCTGTGGTTGGCACAGTAAGTCAGAGTGATCTTATAATTGTGCTGTCTCTAGTTTTGTTTTATAAACTACTTGAGTCTAATATTCAGTCCAGATGACTTTTATTTTTCTTATTTCTTAGACTGCAACTGGCAACGTGGAAGCAAAAGTAGTGTGCTTTTATAGACGACGAGATATTTCCAACACGCTTATAATGCTTGCAGACAAGCATGCTAGTAAGTTAATTGTCTTTTTCTTGGAAAAAACTTAAAATGTGTTTTGAGTCTCTTTTTTTCATGATATTAGGAAAAATACTGTGTTACCTCTAACTTTTTAGTTTCCCATGTGTTTTCCTCTTAGTTTAGATGGGAGTAGGTTTTTTGGGTGGCTCTTGGTTTTAGTATGTATATTTTTAGGATGCAACATATATTTATTAATTAGTCAAAAGGTTGAAATTAGAAGTCTTTGCAAATAGGCTTTAGCAGACAATCAGGGCAGTGATTTGTCATCTCCCGTTTTTCACAGTGGTTTGAAGTTTTGAATATGAGGAAATTAATACTTCACTGGTATTTTGGAGGACTTTTTTTCCTCCTCTCTGAAACAACTGGGTTATATTTACTGAGTGTTATTATATGTTTGTAGTAGTAGGTATGTGTGGGGGAAAAAGTTTGCTAAAGAAAGAAGTGCAAGGTGATAGATAATGGAAAATTCTTGAAGGTAGCAGCTCTGAGTATTTCTTTGCAGTTTGTCATTTTGTGTTCTTTCCTCCCAGTCAACAGCTTTGACACATCCTAGCACCACCCCCCCTTTTTTTAAAGCAACAGAGGATCAATGAAAAAGTGATTTAAATTTTAAAAAAGAAGTAAAGTAGTTTAAGTACTTTGTCTTAAAAGCCATTTTCATCCTTCAAAATATGTAATAAGATTAGGACCCTATGTGTGTGTGGGTGTTAGTCACTCAGTCGTGTCCAACTCTGCGACCCCATGGACTGTAGCCCACCAGGCTCCTTTGTCCATGGGATTCTCCAAGCAAGAATACTTGCTTGGAGTGGGTTGCCATTTCCTTCTCTATATGTATGTGTATTTTTCAGTTTAATACTGTGATGTGTCAAACTCTGGTCTTGGGGATCCTCAAGCTTGTGAAGTGTTGTGGTAAGGGGGGAAAGGAGGCTGTTGTGCAAACAGGTTGGTTCTCTGTCTGCCTGAGATTTCCCCACTGTGTTGCCAATTTAACCAAGCAGATTGGTAGTCTGTCTTGTAACTTAAATTCCTACTATATTTTCTGCTGTAGTTTTATATATTTTTTTAAAATGTCTTTCCATTTTTGTAGAGAAAGTGTTAATTATGATATGGGTTATTCTGTAGTATTTACAAATTATATATTGACAGATTCAGGGCAGTCGTATTTGTACCTCATGTATGAGATGAGAGTATTGCTTTTTAAAATGACGTACTAATCAGTTATTTATCTGTAGCTGAAATCTAGAAATTCAACATGTCATTAAAGCATGCAAAACTATTTGGATTTTATTCGCCATTTACAACATAAACTTAAGAAACATAACATGTCTCACTGATATTCATGTACTTTTGGACTTAGTTTAGCTTCTAATGTAATTTGTCATTGCAAAGGTAGTGAGGTGTCAAGATTGTTAGGGAGTTTGCTGACTGCTTGCGGAGGGTCTCAGCATGGCTGTCTTTTGGAGCTGTCTATTTTAGGCTTGTAAATAGAAAATCAGGTTTTTCAGAATTGATTAGGCTCTTTGTATTGACTCATGGAAATGAAATTCTAAGAAAATTAAGAATCAGTCAAACTACATAGTGGTAGTCATGCAGTTTAAAGCAAGACCCGGGTTCAGATTCTGGTTGGTTATTTGCTGCCTGCCTTGGCAAAAATTCTTAACTTCTCATTCATCTGCATTTTCCTTATTTGTAAAATGAGGTTAAAAAAAAAATCACCTCATTTTGAATTATATTTTTATCACACTTAAGAAAAAATTAAAGGAGGGAATTCCCGGGCAGTATGGTGGTTAGGACTCCACACTTTCATTATTGGTGGCCTAGTTTCAATCCCTGGTGGGGGAACTAAGATCCCACAGCCATATGGCATGGCCAAATATATATTAAAAAAAAAAAATCTAAAATTGCATACTTTAAGGAAAAAAATTAAAGGCTAAGGGAAAAATTATGCCAGCACTGATGTGATGATTCAAGGAATGATTTATAATGGGTGCTTAATAAATGTCAGTTTTCCTCCCTCAGTGATTTGTAGATCATCTGTGTGGATGGATTGCTTCTATCTACATTTATCTGTTTTCTTCCATTATTTATTGATTTTTATTCTCAAAATTAACTGTATATCCATGTACAATAGAGTTAGAAGTATTAACTGTACTTTTGTTTCGGTATTGACTAAACCTTCACACAAAGAGAATAAAAGTTGCTTGAATAGTTCATGCTTTATAAAGAAGTTTTTAAGGAGGGATTAATGGAGAAAATGTCACATGAAAAACCAGAGTCCTGGATGTGGGTGCCACTTAATTTTCCTGAATCTTAGTTTTTCCACTTCGTTGTGGACTTCTTTAAAACTTTTTATTGCAGAAAATTTCAAACATAAAAGTACAGGTATAATACACATGATGTTTTCCATTATTCTGCTCTAACAGTTATTAATACATGATCAATTAATTCATCTAGACCCCTACTTGTGCCATTATTTTGAGGCTCATCAGAGAAATCTTACTTTTTTATCTGCATATATTTCAGAATATATTTCTAAAAGATACAGCCTCATCTAGACTTAGAGGAGATGCCAAGAATATACAAGGAGCTTCAGGATGCTCTTGACCCAGATCCAGCAATTAACATTTTATCATTCTTTATATATATATAATATATATATTTCCTGAACCATTTGAGAGTAAGTGTATACATATTTCCTGAACCATTTGAGAGTAAGTGGAGACTTTAGAGTGTTTTTCCTAAATGTACTAGAATTCTTTTACATAACCACAGTTTAGTGTAAAGGGCTCAGGAAACCTAGTATTTACAACAAAACTATTATCTCATTCACAGTCCTTATTCAGATTTCATATCTCAACAGTGTTCTGAGTAGCTATGTATTTTTTCCTCAGTCTAGGATAAAATCCAGAATCACACACTGTTTTATTGTGTATCCTTGATAATGGAACCAGTTCCTCAGTCTCTGTTTTTTGACCTTAACATTTTTGAAGAAAGTAGGTCAGTTGTTTTGTTGAATGTGGTTCAGTTTGTGTTTGTGTAATGTTTCCTCATAATTAGATTCAGGTTATTTTTTTTTTTTTGTAGGGATGCTGTAGTGATGTGTCCTTCTCGATCCATAGTGGTGATATTAGGTTTGATTACTTGGTTAAGGTAGTGTTCCTTTGTATTCAGTAAGTTATTTTGGGGGAGGTACCTGGCAACTGGGTTTCCCTGATAGCTCAGTTGGTAAAAAATCCGCCTGCAATGCAGGAAACCCCAGTTTGATTCCTGGGTCAGGAATATCCGTTGGAGAAGGGATAGGCTACCCACTCCAGTATTCTTGGGCTTCTCTTGTGGCTCAGCTGGTAAAGAATCCACCAGTGCAGGAGACCTGGGTTCTATCCCTGGGTTGGGAAGATCCCCTGGAGAAGGGAAAGGCTACCCACTCCAGTATTCTGGCCTGGAGAATTCCATGTACTGTATATGTGCCCCATGGGGTCACAAAGAGTAGGATGCGACTGAGCGACTTTCACTTCACTTCACTTCACCTGGCAACTACCTAAATATCTTGTTTTTGGTCCAACATCAGTGCACTTGTTTTAGCATCCATTGATCATTTAGGATTCTGTAAACATTGGTATCCTCAAATACCTAGTTTTTACATTTTTTCTTTTATAGTATTTTTTTCATGTTTATAATTTGTTTACATCAGGATCCAAATAAGGTGATTGGTTGGTAAGACTCTTTTAAGTTGTTTTTTTTTTCTCATCCATTTTAATAATTGATAAATACTTCATGTAGCATAAAATACAAGCTTTTAAATTGCACAATTTAGTGGTCTTCTCAAAGCTTATAGCCATCACCACTGCTAATTTCAGATTATTTTCATCACCTGAAAAAAGAAGCCAGTTACTCCCGATTCTCCCTTTCTGTCAATCCCTGGCAACCTCTGATGTACTTACTGTCTCTATGGAGTTGCCTTTTTCTGGTCATTTTTTATAAATGGAATCATACAGTTTGTGTGTTTTTTTGTGTCTGGCTTTTTACTTAGCATAATGTTTTCAAGTTTCTTCCATTTTATAGTATGAATTACATCATTCCTGTTTATAGTTAAGTGATATCATATTGGGTGGATGTACTACATTTTGTTTATTTATTCACCAGTTGATGGGCATTTTTATTGTTTCCTTTCCCGTAATTATGAATGATGCTGTTATGAAATTTCTGTACAAGTTTTTGTGGGGACATCCTTAAGTCTTTTAATCTATAGATGCCTATTGTTTCATATTCTATCTCAGTATTTTGTTGAAGATACCAGGTGGTCTGTCCTGTTGAGTTTTCTTTGGCTTGAAGTTTGTTGATTGCATCTCTGTTGTGTCCTTTACTATGTTTTGCTGTAGGTGGATAGTTAGATTTAGATTCTAGAGGGTCAAAAATCTAGGCTTTTTTTTTTTTTGGTGGAATGGGGGTGGGGGTAAAAGACCACTTCATGGGCAGCATTGTGCACTTCTGTTATGAGGTCTCTAAAATATTGTTGCCTGTCTCTTTTTAGTAACATTTTACTTTGAAATAATCTAAGATTTACAAAAAATCTGTTAAAAACATTACCAGGAATTTCATATGTCCTTCATTCAGATTCCCCAAATGTTAACAATTTTACTATATTTATTCTGTTATTCTGTCTTGTTTATTGTTTAGCCACTAAGTCACATCTGACTCTTTGCGACTCCATGGACTGTAGTCCACCAGGCTTCTCTGTCCATGGGGTTTCCTAGGCAAGAATACTGGAGTGGGGTGCCATTTCTTTCTCCAGTGGATCTTCCTGACCCAGAAATTGAACCTGTGCTTCCTGCATTGGCAGGTGGACTCTTTACCACTGAGTCATCAGGGAAGCCCATTAATTCTGTGTACATATTAATATATTTGAATTGTCTGAAAATAAATTGATATATTTCCCCTAACCCCTAAAGATAACTTCAGTGTGTCTCTTCTAAGAATGAGGATATTCTGTTTTC